CGAGCGGGTGTTTAAGAATCCCGACCCAGCAGCCAAGCCGCCTTGGCCGAGAAAGGCAAGCTCCTCCGTCACGTTCGGCGCCCTGACGGGCTCTTTTGCAGCCCCGGGGCTGGGGAATCCTCCGGCGCTGCCGCGCAACGAGGGCAGCCCGAGGCGGGTCCCGGGGCGAGAGCTGGGGGGCCGGGGCGGCTGCGTGAGACGGCTGCTGTGGCTCTGCCTGGCACAAGGACAGCTTCAAAGGCCAGCACTGGGCTTATAAAAGTGCTGTTATGAAACTGCAGTGACTTGCAGTCTGCTTTCTTGCTCTCCCCTCCCAAATCTCGGAGTCGCAGCTGAAGTCGGCTGGGAGAGCAAGGTGTAGCTCACCCCACCCGCTGCTCCCTGCCCCAAGCGCGGCCGCTGTTGGTGTCTCCTCGCTGTGCTGAAAGGCACAAAATGCCTTTCTTGCCCCTTCTGAAGACGTTTTTTCCCCCGACTTGTTGCTGAGAGCAGATGCAGGGCCTAGAGAGCAGAATCAAACGGCTTCCTCCTCTTGGAGCAGGCACATTGGGAAAGCACCCGAATCGGGCAAAGGGTTTCAGTCTTCCCCCTCACTCCGCATTTTGGCAACAGGCTGCTTCATTCTGAAACCTCTTAACGGCAAAATCGCCTCGCTGAGACAGCCAGCGTCGTGGCAAACCCAACGACTGGTCTGGGTGCCTGCCCAGTGCAGGAGCGCTGTGCTCACCAAGCTGTCTGCTAGGTGCTGTCCAACCTGTCCATGCACCCAAGAACCGCTAGTCCATCCCTAGTGACCGGGACGAGGAGACCCCACTGCGAACCAGCCACGGTGAAACCTCGAGGTGATACGGGCTTGCTCCTGGTCTGCGTGCCCTGGCGTCAACTGGTCAGTCCTACTTCTCTTGGTGCCTACACAAAAAGGTTTGTTCCTCTGTGTCTCACAATGACTCGGGACATCCGAATGGCCTCCAAGGTGGCACCAGCCCATCTGTCCCTGCCGTGGGTCATCAAATGCACCTCCTGCATCTGCCACATCTCCGCTGCTCCCCGTTGAAGGCAGCCCCTGATTCGAGGGCTTTGTCCTGGCATTCAACCCCTATCCAAGGGCTGGTCCTGGCTACCCGACGGGTCTCCTCTTCCCCCGCCTGTGATGCTTTGTGGCAGCTCTGGAGCAGTTATGCCAGGCTGGCAGGGGCGGGGTGCAGCTGGGTGCTGTGAGGAGGGACGAGCACCCCTAGGGAGCAGGGCTGGCTGGTGGAGCGTGCAGTGCTGAGGCTGCTGGGGGGGCAGGTCTCTGGTGCAGCGATGGGGGGTGTGTGTGTACACACATTTCCATCCGTCTAGATATTAGTTATCTCACTCCAAGACGGCGGCAGCGGCGGCTGCTGCATCCCTTTTCGGAGCTGCTATTGGCCAGAGATGATGTCAGTGCTTCCCAGGCTGGGTGCACTGCCATTGGCGGCGGGCAGGGATGCGGCTGTCAGCTGGAAGCGCTCCAGTCATTCATGGGGACTTCAGTGTGTGTTCGCTGGGCGCACTTGGACGCAAATAGATGGCAAAAGATCTGGCGGAGCCAGGTGAGCGCGCAGGGCTTCACTTTGGACCCTTTCCGTGGTCGGGATGGAGCGCCCGCCGTCCCCTCTTGCACCCCTGGGTGAGAAGCGGGTGCCCACCTGTCTCTCCCTTGTTCTGGCAGCAGCTCGCTGTAAAGCCCCCTCTAACCCCCGCGCCGCTGAGCCCCAGCGCTGCTGCGTTAGGGCACGTTCCCCCTCTGTTACTCAGTGGCCTTTGGACAACCAGAAGCAGCTCTTCTGCTTTTCTCTCTCCCTTCCCCCCCACCCCCCACAACTAGTAATCAAAGTGCCCGGCTTTACCCTGAGATCAGCAGCAATCATGACAAGACTTGAAATGCTGCTTCTGGGCTCTGTCTTACCCAGCATAACTGCTAAAGCTCAGCACCTACAGCACTGAACAGGAGTACTGAATAAGACTGCCAGCTCACTTGGCTGTCTGCTCTGGGCTCTTCTCGCCCGCTTAACTTGCAGCATGCTGATAGCTCTTGCTTCAGACCAGAGCCTGCTTGGCTCTTGCAATCCTCAACAGCTCTGCTCAGCCTTCGCTCTAACTCGCTACGCGTGGGAATGAAGCAACCGCTTCCTAGTGTTTTGCTCTTCCTCAACCTGTGCAAATGCAGCAGTCCAAAAATAGGACACCTAGACTTGTGCCTAGACAGTACCAGTGCTGGAAGTGTCACAGGACAGCTGACAACAGGATCCTGGCTTTTTTCTAACCAAAGTCAAACCTGTGCGGCACAGCACGTATACTGAAGAGCCAAGGAGCTGTGCTTCCCAGAGCACCTTTGGAGATGCACTGTGGCTTTCGGAGGAAGCTAAACGCTTCGCTGCACGTGCTCTCCGGCAGGCGAAAGGGCTCCCTTCAGAGACACTTGTGCTTCCTACCACCCCAGCCACACGTGCGGGTCCAGGCGGTGGCCCTTGCTGGCTCTGGAGGGGGCTCACCTCGTGCCTCCTCACTTTGCCTTTATAAATACCCCCTGGCCCCCTCCTCCTGCCTAGCTGGGCGGTCTGCGAGCGCCTGAATGCCAGCGGCGAGGCTGGAGCTGAAGGCAAAGCACCTGCGCGAGGCAGCGCTCCAGGCAGGGGCTTCACGCCGGGCTCCGCGGTGAGCGAAGGAGCGG